CCCCCCCGCCCCCAGGCCCCCGCCCCCTGGGCGCCGGGGGGGGGGCCTCCCCCGGCCCGGGAATAACCCCCCCGAAGTTGCCGCCCGGGGCTAAGCGCCCAAACCGGGGGGCGGCTTTCTCAGCGGCCTTTTTGGCGGGGCCCGGCCGCGGGCCCACCTTGATGGGCCCGGAACCCGTGCGAGCTTGGGGGCGCAGCTGTTGGAAACTGCTCCCGCCGGGCCCTGTGCCCCCAGGGTGAAGCCGGCCCGGTTTGGGGCCCAGGGCGGGCCCCGTGGGCGGGGGGGGGCCCTCCCGGGGGCCGGTTGAGTCTGGGGTGGGGACCGGCCCTCCTCGTGGAAACTTTGGGGGCTCGCGTGGGGACCTTGTGATGCGGTCCTCCTGGCAGCGCGCTGGCGGGGGTGGGGGGCTTCCTTCGGGCTAAACACTCGGGTAAAGGAGCCAAGAGTGGGCGGGTCTGCTTGTGAAGCCTGGGTGATGGGGGACCCTCCCCCCGCCCCCCCGGGAACCTGCCCCACAGAGCCTACTCCCTTGGGTGGGGCTGGGCTCCTTCAGGGCGTGTGGCGGTTCCTGAGAAGCCAGGAGCGCAGTGTGCAGGGACTCACACCAACCCTGTCCCAAGACACTAGGGGAAGGGCTTAGAGAGACCCCTGCGCCAGCGCAGCTGAGGAAGGGGCTCTAGGAGACGCTGGGAGGTGGCCCCAGCATAAGCTCGAGGGTTTAGAGAGAGCCCCCTCCCCCTCCCCCCACAGGAACACGGTGGAAGGAACTCCTAGGACTGGGGGAAGGCCCTCAGAGACCCCAGTCTCTGGCTGAGCAGGCTGATAGGGGCGGGCCAGAGGCTCTTGAGAGCATGGTGGGAATACGGGAGGAGGCCCCAGAGCACTGGGGGACTCAGAGGACTGTGAGGGCAGAGCCTCTGCTCCAGGAAAGACCTTGGAGGTCACCACTCAATGGTGGGGCCTCTAGTCCTTGGAGCTGTCCCCCATTTGGGGTCTTCATTGCCCCCACCTTTGGCCTCAGAGTCCCTAGATGAAGGGCTGGGCCAGGAGAAGGCAGCTGATGCCTCCAGGAACGTCACTTGGCTCTTGTGAGCCTTTGTCAACCCCCAGAGCCCACCCCTGTCCCTGAGCCCCCATGCACCTCCCTCTCCGAGCTCACACCTTCTTCCCTGATCCCACACTCCCTCCCTCCCTGAGCCCCTACTGGCTTCCTCTGAAGTTTCTTCGGGCAGGGGGAGGTCCACCTGATGGGATGGGAGACTCCCGGGCAGGGGGAGGTCCACCTGATCGGATGGGAGACTCCCGTTTGACAAGTGAATGCCAGGGTAGCTGGCAGCAGTTGCTCACTCACCTCCCTGACCCCAGTCCTTCTGACAGAAAAGGAAGGGGGGCAGCTGCTGCCAGATGAGGTGCTGGACGAGGCTGTGCCAGGGTACCGGGCCCCGGGGAGGAAGAGCCTCCTAGAGATCCAGCAGCTGGACCCAGACGATGAGAGCCTGGCCAAGTACAAGCGGGTGCTTCTGGGTCCCCTGCTGCCGGCCGTGGGTATGCTCGGGCCATGGGTGTGAGAGGGGCGGGGTGGGGGTTGGGGGGTGCATCCAGCAGACTTCCAATTTCCCCTCAGACCCAAGCCTGCCCAACGTGCAGGTGACCAGGCTGACTCTGATGTCTGAGCAGGCTCCCGGGCCCATGACCATGGACCTCACAGGTAAGCGCCAGCTGCAAACCACAGACTGATCTTTGGGGTAGAGACTGCTTAGAACCCTGTGCCCAAACCCTAGTCCTCAGACCCATCACGTAGACCAATGGTTCTCAACCTTCCTAATGCCGTGACCCTTTAATACAGTTCCTCATGTTGTGGTGACCCCCAACCATAAAATTATTTTCGTTGCTACTTCATAACTGTAATGTTGCTACTGTTATGAATTGTAATGTAAATATCTGATATGCAGGATGTATTTAGGCGACCCCTGTGAAAGGGTTGTTTGACCCCCAAGGGGGTTTCGACCCACAGGTTGAGAACCGCTGACGTAGACTTTACAGGTACTGCCCCCTAGGGGGCTCCTGGGGCAGGGTCTCTGCCATCGAAGGAGGTTGTTCCTTAGCTGCACTTTCCCTGACAGGGGAGCTGGCTGCACTGAAAAATCAGGTGTTCGTCCTGAAGGAGGGTGTTGATTACAAAGTGAAGATCACCTTTAAGGTGAGGCAGCTGTCATGGGCGATGCCAGCCACCCACAGGATCGGCTTCCCAGAGGGACCCCTTAACACTCTTTGTCCCTCAGGTCAATAAGGAAATTGTCAGTGGCCTCAAGTGTCTGCATCACACCTACCGCAGGGCCTGCGAGGTGAGGGCCGTGTGAAGGGCCTGGAGGCGGGGGGCGGGGGGTGGGGGGGGACAATGGGGCAGAGGGCAGCCCCTGATGCCCTCCTCCTCCCCCAGTGGACAAGGCTGTGTACATGGTGGGCAGTTATGGGCCCAAGAGCCCAGGAGTATGAGTTTGTAACTCCGGTGGAGGAGGCGCCGAGAGGCGCCCTGGTGAGGGGCGCCTACGTGGTCACATCCTTCTTCACTGATGACGACAGGGCAGACCACCTTTCCTGGGAGTGGGCCCTCCACATCTGCCAAGACTGGAAGAGCTGAGCGCCCACCCCCCTGCCCTGCCCCAGGACCTGTCTCCCCACTCAGGGTCTTTGTTCCCTCTGCCTCTGTCAGTCACTGCACAGGGACCCTCACGCATTCTCCAGCCCCCTCAGTCAGTGACCAGACCCCTCATGCCCTCTGCTCCGTCTCGGGACACCCCCTCCCGGGCCTGGCGCTGTGCCCTGAATAGCCATATTAAACTCCACCTGTCTCAGTGCCTGGTGTTGCCTCTGTCTGCTTCCCCTCCCCCGGGGGTGGGGGGGCCTTGGGCCTTATCTTTCCTGCAACCAGGACTGGGCGCCACGTGGCCACCGCTGCTTGGCCCCCGGCCCCCTTATCTGCCCCCGCCCCGTGGGCCCCGGCACTGCCATGGACGGCCCGCTCCTGTCTGTGCTGCTACTGCTGTTGCTCGGGGCCTTGAGCCTGCGGGGCCAGGGGCCGGGGCCAGGGGGTCCCTCGGAGGAGCCCGGGAAGGAGGAGGTTCCTGAGGAGGATGGGATCCTGGTGCTGAGCCACCGCACCCTGGGCCGGGCCCTGCAGGAGCACCCTGCCTTGCTGGTGGAGTTTTGTGAGTGCACAGGGTCAGCAGGGCTGGGGGACCCGCCGGTGTCACCCAGGGTGCTCAGCCCCCTCCCGCGTGGACTCCGGGGCTGATGCACTTGGCTCCATCTGAGGCAGAGCCTTGGGGCTGAGCTGGTCTGGGGGTCCAACTTGAGCAGGTGGGAGGGGAGGCACAGGTATAAGGGAGACCCTCAGTTAGACTGTGAAGAGCCAGATAAAGCTCACACCTTGCATATTCTCCTGTGGCTTTCTTACAACCCTTTACACATGTAAAAGCCCTTGAGCTGGCAGGCCTCAGTCAGCGGCATATGGCAGGGAGCACGGCCTCAGGGAGCAGCGACGGAAGATTCTTCTCCAACTCACTGTCTGGAAGGTGCTGGCCACTGCACTCCTGATCTGGGAGCTTTGAGCAGTCTGGCCTCTGGTGCTTGGGTTTAGCGTGGCTGAGTCAGGAGGGAGATACACAGGACATGCTCCACGCTGGAGCTGACTGACCCCAAGTTTGCCAGCTCTGGCCAGGCGGGAGCAGGGGCTGTGACCAGGGCCATGGAGGCCAGGGACACTCATGGCCCTGTCCCCCAGATGCCCCGTGGTGTGGGCACTGCAAGGCGCTGGCCCCTGAGTACATCAAGGCAGCTGCCCTGCTGGCAGCAGAGTCAGCCAAAACCAGGCTGGCCAAGGTGGATGGGCCTTCAGAGCCAGAGCTGACCAAGGAGTTTGCTGTGACCGAGTACCCCACGCTCAAGTTCTTCCGCAATGGGAACCGCACGGACCCGGAGGAGTATACTGGTACAGGGGCAGGCGTGTGTGCGGTGGTGTGGGCCAGGGGCTGGGCCCAGGCTGACGGGACTCTCCACAGGCCCCCGGGAAGCCGAGGGCATTGCTGAGTGGCTGCGGCGGCGGGTGGGGTCCAGCACCACACGCCTGGAGGATGAAGAGGGCGCCCAAGCATTGATAGATGCCCACGACGTAGTGGTCATCGGCTTCTTCCAGGTGAGCCAGTGGCACAGGGGCCAGGCCTTGGGAGCGGGGACTGTGGCTCCAGATGGCCTCACAGACGTGGACCCCTTAGGACCTGCAGGATGAGGACGTGGCCACCTTCCTGGCTCTGGCCCAGGATGCTCTGGACATGACCTTTGGCCTCACTGATCGTCCGCAGCTTTTTCAGAAGTTTGGCCTCACCAAGGACACCGTGGTCCTTTTCAAGAAGGTGGGTCTGGGCCGAGGCGGGGGTTAGGGACAGGACTATGGCTCCTACTGACCCACCGGGTGTTGTCCAGTTTGACGAGGGGCGGGCAGACTTCCCAGTGGATGAGGAGCTGGGCCTGGACCAGGGTGATCTGTCCCGCTTCCTCCTCACGCACAGCATGCACCTGGTCACGGAGTTCAACAGCCAGGTGAGTTGGGCTGCAGGTACAGGAATGGGCACTGGGTGGAGTGGGAGGGTGACCACAGAGCCAGCTCCCATGAGCCCCGCCTACCCCTGCAGACGTCCCCCAAGATCTTTGCGGCCAGGATCCTCAACCATTTGCTGCTGTTCATCAACCAGACACTGGCCCCGCACCAGGAGCTGCTGGCAGGCTTTAGGGAGGCAGCTCCCCCATTCCGGGGGCAGGTACTGGCTGGGTGGGCTGAGGGGTGGGCACGGGGGAGGCCAGTGCCCAGTGCATACTCCCTGTTGGCAGGTGCTGTTCGTGGTGGTGGACGTGAGTGCCAACAACAACCACGTGCTACAGTACTTCGGGCTCAGGGCAGAGGAGGCCCCCACCCTGCGCTTCATCAACATGGAGACCACCAAGAAGTACAAGCCTGAAGACAGGGGGCCGGTCACTGCAGCCTGGGTCACCACCTTCTGCCACTCAGTCCTCAGCGGCAAGGTCAAGGTCTGTGCTGGATGGCCCACCTAGGGTGTGGGGGTGGGAGCAGCAGCTCTCAGGAAAGATCCCCAACAAAGCACCTGGCCCGGTTCCCCCCAGCCCTATCTTCTGAGTCAAGAGGTCCCCCCTGACTGGGACCAGCATCCTGTCAAGACTCTTGTGGGCAAGAATTTCGAGCAGGTGGCTTTTGACGAAACCAAGAATGTGTTCATCAAGTTCTGTGAGTGTGGAGGGCAGGAGACAGTGGATAGGTGGGCAGTATGGGGTCCTGCTGGCTGTGCAAACATCCCCCTGTCCTAGATGCCCCATGGTGTACCCACTGCAAGGAGATGGCACCAACCTGGGAGGCACTGGCCGAAAAGTACAGGGACCACGAAGACATCATCATTGCTGAGCTAGATGCCACGGCCAATGAACTGGAGGGCTTTCCTGTGCACGGCTTTCCCACCCTCAAGTATTTCCCAGCAGGGCAGGGTCGGAAGGTGAGGCAGGACCCCGTCTTCCTTGGTCTGATGTCTGAGTCCTTGAATGGAGATGGGGCAAGGCCTTAGAGCAGTGGTTCTCAACCTTCCTCATGCCGCGACCCTTTAGTACAGTTCCTCATGTTGTGGTGACCCCCAACCATAAAATTATTTTCGTTGCTACTTCATAACTGTAATTTTGCTACTGTTATGAATCGTAATGTAAATATCTGATATGCAGGATGTATTTTCATTGTTGCAAATTGAACATAATTAAAGCATAGTGACTAATCACAAAAACAACATGTAATTATATATGTGTTTTCCGATGGTCTTAGGCGACCCCTGTGAAAGGGTCGTTCGACCCCCAAAGGGGTCGCGACCCACAGGTTGAGAACCGCTGTCTTAGAGCGTGTGGCCTTAGTAGGTGCGCTCTGGGAGGGGTTGTGGTCTTAGAGTGCAAGGCCTAGCTAGTATAGGGTGTGGCCTGGGGGCAGGAAAGGGTCTTGGTAGGGTGGGGCCTTAGCCAGTGGAGTCTAGAGTGGGTGTGGTCTGGGCAGGGCATGATCTGGGAGGACATGGTGTATCCTCCAAACCCTCCTGTCCCTCCTCAGGTGATTGAATACAAAAGTGCCAGAGACCTGGAGACCTTCTCCAAGTTCCTGGACAACGGGGGCAAGTTACCCGAAGAGGAGCCCGCTGAGGAGCCCTCAGCTCCCTTCCCGGTGAGTGCCTATATTCCAAGGCTCCAGGCCTCGGACATGCCCTCGGATGGGTGGCTATGGGGCTGACTGGGCGAGGCTGGGCTAAGGGCACAGCTTCCAGCTGGGCCTCTGTGACCTTTCCAGGATACATTAGCCAACTCCACCGTGGATCTCAAGGAGGAGCTGTAGCCACCCCATCAGTGCAGGGGAGCCATCTCCTCGGTGCCTGGGAAATTGTGGGCATTGAATAAAGAGTTTTGGCCCTGGACTGTGTGTGGTTCCTGAGCATGGCAGCCTCCTGGGGTTCCATGTGGGATGGGGCCTAGCCCTTGCCCCCAGACCTCCTCGTGGATCCCTGGCTTAGGTGCTTCTAGATCCCCACACGGTGTTGCTGCCAACTTTGGCTCCACAAGACACCCTACTCCCAAGACCCTTGGTGCCAGTGTGACCTTGTTGCTGAGGCCGGATATGGGCTGCGCATAACCTGGCCAGGAGAGAGGAGATGGGTCACATGTGCCGGAAACTGGGCTGAGGATGAGGCACCCACTCACCAGACCCCACTGACAGAAGATCCGTGCGCTCTATAGCCAGGGAAGGTTCAAAAACTGGTTTTATTTCATTATTATCCAAGTACCTTTAAAAGATCATTGTACAAGTCAGCGCATGAAAAATGGGCTCGGGGCAGCCCCCGCTAGCCCTAGCCTGAGAATGTACATATTTACATGGGCCCTTACGAAGGAAGAGCCGGGACCCGCTGAGCCGGCGCTGTGGAAACTGAGGGTGGAGAGGGAGCACTGAGGTGCCCCGTCGCCGGATCCACATAGTGGCAGGCAAGAGACAAGCTGTGTTGAAGGCACTCGGTGACATGTACAATTTAGAGACCCCCAAGAAGCCCCTGAACCCCGGGCCTGAGCTGGCCCTGACCAGGGTAGGGCATGGTGGGCAATTTCTGGAGGGAGAAGCAGAGCCCTGGGGGGAGGCGCCAGAAGGTTGGCCCGTGGTTAGCAGCGGGGTTCCGCTGGGGAGGGTCAGCAAGGCGGCCCCACAGGGGGCTGCTCCCTGCTTGCTTGGGCGGACTCAGAGTAGTGCTGTGGAGGAGTGGACGGGGCCCCCTCCTTGTTGGCAGCAGGACAGACACCTGTGGGACCACTCAACGGGACCCCTGCTCACCTGGACACAGATGGACCAAAGGGGTGGGTGGCTATAGGGCAGGCAGTCCCTGGCCTCACACTAGAAGTCGCGTGTTTGCATACACATGAGAGCACCTGACATGGCACAGCCTTGCCGGGCTCTCAGTGTGGCCATCCCTGCCCCACCTGATGAGGGCCCTGCCTGGCGCAGAGGCCTGGCCTGCGGGTCAGTCCACCTTCTCCACTTTGCCAATGATCTTCTCCTCAAAGACAGGTAAGATGGCCTCGTCTTCCCGAACCTCTTCAAACACCACTCCACAGTCAAACTCGTCACTCACTTTCTTGAAGTAATATCTGGGGGACGGGGGTGAGAGGAGATGAGGGCCTGTCCACTCCTCTCCTGCCCACACCCCCACACCCTAGGGGCCTCCCGACTTCCTAGCGTGGTGGCCTCATGGTTCCACACACACACAGCACTTGGTGACCACATTCCAAGTACATCATGCAGGGCATGCAAGCTGGTTCTGCCTGATGCCCATTTGCCAGAGAGTTGACAGTGAACAGTACAGTGACCACTTGTGGGGTCCTCTGCCCTGGCCTCTAGGATGCTATGGGGGAGACACAGGCAGGTTTGGGGTTTCTGCTTCCTAAGGTCTGAGCCTGTCATCTCCCATCTCCATCAGGGTGATGTGCAGAGGCCAGCAGAGCTTGGGCCCTCCTCTAGTGGCCACACCCTCTACCTCCAAAGGGCACTTTCTCACCACTCAGTAGATAGAGCAGTGATGGCGAACCTATGACACGCGTGTCAGAGGTGACACGCGAACTCATTTTTGTGGTTGATTTTTCTTTGTTAAATGGCATTTAAATATATAAAATATCAAAAATATAAATCTTTTACTATGGTTGCAAATATCAAAAAATTTCTATATGTGACAAGGCACTAGAGTTAAGTTAGGGTTTTTCAAAATGCTGACACGCCGAGCTCAAAAGGTTCGCCATCACTGGGATAGAGGAAACCACCCACCCCAGGCCGCAGTGAGCTGACCCCATGTGGCCCTTCCTCCTACAGTGCTCACTCAGGAGCCTTCAGAGGCTAGTCTCAGGCTGGCAGGGCAGAGCAGCCCACGGCAGACCCTGGAAAGAGGGGTCCTGGATTCTGTGTCTAGTGAAAATGGGTTGAGTCAGAAGGCTGGAGAAAGGCTGACCCAGATCAGACCGACATGGGGACAGGGAGACCACTGTGTTTGGGCCTGCTTCCCTGCTTTTAAGGCAAGGACTGTCCAGACCCCTCGGTTGACCTGGAGGCCTGTCACCTAAGGCTGGGAGTTGGGGCTGGGAGCCTTGAGGCCATCAACACCTCACACCTCAAGGTGCTCCTGCCAACAGCTCAGGTCTGGTTAAGCAGGTAAGAGGGAAACAAGGACCAGATGGGATAAGAACAGGGTGGGAATAGGGCACCCAGCACACACTCTCCTGGACAGGGTACCTGTTTACCACAGACCACAGCCCTTAACTCTCACCTGTAGTTGCCTTTCTTGGTCAGCAGCTCCTTGAACTGGCCCAGGGTGACTGCACGGCCCCTCACCAGGGTCCGGTAGGGGATAGGTTCTCCACAGAAGTAGTAGGCCACAACGATGCTGTCACACAACTGGGCACTCCCACCTCCTGCCTTCTTCTGCGGTTTCGTCCTGGAGGCAGAAACACAGTGGTTACTGCTGAGCTAGAGTCCCACAGGTCATCTCCCCAACAGGCCCCACGCTCCCCAGGAAACGATGGGGCAAGGCCTGCAGGAGTGAGCTGCCACACACTCAGAAACGTCATGCATCCAGAGGCCCCAATGCTCCCCCACCCATACAGTTGCATCCAGCCCCAACCCTATGCACAAAGAGACAGCGTGGAATCCAGCTCATCCCCCCTCCCTGCCTGCGCCACGTCTCCATAGTGCCTCAGCTCACTTGCCACCCCCCTCCACCACTGGGAAGCTCCTGGCCTCACTGTGGCCTGGACTGGCTAATAGGCAGCACCCCTGACCCAGACCACATGAAATAGGCCAGCAGGCTTCTCAGGGCTGGAGCCCACAGTAGATCCTTCTACCTGCTTCTTAAGGTGGCCAGGCCACTAGAACCAATGTAGCCCCTGCCTCTAGGCTGGACTACACGGCTTGTACCCCACATAAAGCCTACTGCTCCCAAATGAAAAAAACATCTGAAGGCCAGGAATTGGACAAACAATTGTTTTGGGTCTTGAAATGGACCTGTCCCATGGCAGAGAGCTTGTCCAAAGACCAGAGGCAGCAGCCAGCCAGATTTCCAGAGAGGGGTGTGAGGCCAGCACCATCTCCCACTCAGGCTGGGGTAGGGCCCTCACCCTGATGGGTCCTGAGCAGCCATTCTGTGTTTGGGACAGGTAGCACTTCCTCTGTCCCCCAGCACCCCTTGTCCTTGTGACTGCTCTGCAGTTGCCCAGGTACACATGGGCACAGTTCTTGGCTCTTGCCAGCTGGGCGTGATAAGAAGCCTCCTGAACCAGTGTCATGCCAGGAAGGCCACCTTAACTCACAGTGGGCTCTTCTCTCCATGGGACCCTCCCCTTCCTGGTGCTCCTGGGCACACACCATGGAGTCACTTCATCTGTGTGGTTATCCACCACTCGAGCCACACTCCATGGCGCCTGCTTTCCTTCCCATAGTCCTGAAACCTCAAGCCCAGCCTGTTCTGGGAGCCTGCCTCGGGGTCTTGTGTGGACCCATTCTCTACAGAAAGGAGACAGGTTCCTGCTCCTCCAGGGGCCACCCCTGAGGAGTGACCTGGTGGGGCCAATCAGAGCTGGTTGGCATTGTCTGGGGTAAGCTCGGTGAGGACTTTGGTGGAGGACTTCCTTCTGCTCTATCTTGAGCAGAAGTGCAAGGATGGGGCAGCCAGCACTGTCTGCATGTGGCCTGCAGCTTCCTAGCGCCCACCCTACTCTATGCATACCTGGGGAGCAGATACATCCCACGTGAGAACCCAGGCTCGCTGTGCACACAGCACCTGGACATGCACCACAGGTGCTGATGTTTTCAGTCAGCAGCGTGTCAAAGGAACCATGGGTGCAGCCCTGACCCTAAGTCCTGGCTGGGTGACATATGGGACCTCCTCTCTGACCAGTTGGTCATTTGTCACCACATGGATGGTCAGTGTTCCGTTTGACAGAGACAGGAAGGAAAGGCCAGTGAACAGCTTGCAGTGCCCGGGCTCCCGCCCTGGGAAACAGCTGCTGCTCCACAGCCCCTGGCCCACAGCACAGGCTGGATGAGCAGTACAAGAGGACCCGCAGGGGACACACGTACTCTGTCTCGGAGAGCTCCGTGTCGGACACTGCTGGCACCACGCTCAGCACGGGCGTGCACACCGGCCTGACGCAAGAGCGCCCCCGCTGGATGACCTCCTGCACATACCTAGGGAACAACTGCGTCAGTGAGCCACATAGGCCTGGGGCAGGGCCTCCACACTCCGCGGTGACAACAGGGTCACAGACAGCAGGCGGAGCATGTGCTCCCCAAGAGGTTCAATTACCACCACGCCAGGCTTCCGCCATATGAGTCAGGCAAACCCCTTCCTGGTGGTGAAGCTGTCAGGATCAGTCAAGAAACAGATGCTGCCTTCATCATTCAGATTTCCCACATTACTCATTTGTGGTCAGAGCCCTTGGGCTCCCTGGAATATACTCTGGGGAACCCCTCATCTGAGGTGCTAGGATCCTGTCATTTCATCCACACTGAGAAGACCTGCCTCTGGCCTCTTTCCTGAGGGCACAGTTCTTCCTACTTGGCCCCCTGACATGGGCCTGAGTCCTGGAGCATGGTCACTGCTCCATCCGAAGCAGCCAGAATCCTGTTCTGGGTCTCACTGGCCAGCAGCTCCTCTCCAAGTGGCCATCCACCCTGGGCATGTGCTGTGCAACCCTAACAGTAATTTCTGCTCTGACTGATCTGGGTGGGGGTCACCCCACGAGGAGCTGAGGAAGGCCTAGAACCCCACTGCCACATCCAGACCTCTGCTCTGTGGCCATTTACAAAAGGCTCACAAGCCCTGGACCAAAGACACCTGGAGATGCCAGAGCCACTGGCTGAAACCCCGCAGGCGGC